TCATCTTTCTCCCGCGGAGCAGCTGGTAGTTTCGAACCGCTGACCTTAAGGTTCGCAGCCCAATTCGTAACCACTACGCTACCAGAGCTCCTTAAAGTAGATATATAGATGTACACATATTATGTAGTCGTATTAATGAAGTCTGTTTTTTGTTGTTGTTGTTCAAAACTGAAACCATAATTTCCTTATACATGTAAAAGCTACCTGGATTTATACCCTCAATCTTTGTAGTCCGTTTTCTTCTGCTTTTCCCCTTTTACTTCATCCACCCCTGACACTTAATAATACTTAGTGGTTCGTATCATTTTAAATACTTGAATTCTTTAAACTAAAGCACGTCATTGAGTGGCATGTAGCAATTTTAACAATGTCCAGCATCAAACATTTTAGGAGAGGAAAGAACAGTAACACATCCAATGGAAACTGATGGCATTTCAGGAGGCTCAAGGTAATTATTAAAATTAGAATGTTTTAAGTTTGAATAATATTTAGTGTTTGACCAGCCTTGGTGCCCTTGGAGCCTAAAGCAAACAGCACTCAGGTGGTTCATGAAAACTGGCCTGGAGAGAGGATGGCAGTGCCTGCCAGCTTGATGCTTTGCCACACTGACCTAGGCTTGTGATTGGGGAGGATAGCGCCAGAATCCGTGTAGGGTAAAGATAATGGGACTGATTAACACCCTGACAGAGATTTCTTTTTACAACTACTACTACTCCCAGTGTCATCTATAAAATTACTCCTAAAGGCAAAGGAGAGTACTATGTACTATAAAATAATTTGTTATGTGGTTGAAGCTGCCAAATAGTAAATGGAGTGTTAATTATGTGGGATATTTGTTACAGTGCTTATTAGCAAGCAGAGCACACTTTACCACAGAGATCAAATAGCTTTACTTTTAATAAAAGGCTGTGTGCACTCAGTTAAATAACCATACCCTTGTCTTACAATAATTTCTTAATGATTTTAATTCAGCCTCTTTGGCTATGTTTATAACTACTTTGGGTAAAGGGTAATTTTAGTATAAATGTGTACTGCTTGTTTAGAACCTTATCTCTGTTGTAACTTGTTCCCTTCAAAGCTCTTATTCAGTCTCTCTATTGTGAAGTAATCCTTTTTTGCCTCATTCAATCCAAATTGAAATTGGGAAGTAGATACTCATTCCATTATGTGGAAAAGAAAATACTCTAAAAACTTATATCCCTTTAGAAATTTTAACTAATTTAAAGAGGGCTATTAAGAATTTCATGATTTAAGAGATATTTGTAATAATTAAAAGAATTCTCTTGAAATCACCATTTTATTTATAACTTAGATGGTAATTTGTTAAGCTGACAAATATTGAAATACTTATTTATGTACATTTTCAGAAATGTTTCCTAAATTTACTGGAGAAAAAAAGAACTATGTTCCTTCTAAAGAGAATGTAAAGGTAAGTTAGTTCTTTATTAGAACTTTAGACTTTATAAAGTGTATATGTTATAACTCAACTGGTATAGTAATTAATAGCTTTCTTTATATGAAAAGAGTTGTTACTTTTTTTACCTCATCATCTTAGATGCTCAAAGATTTCTTAAAGAAGATTGAATAAAGAAACTATTTGACATTTTTCTAACAGAATATAAGTGTATACTAAGAAACAGATTAGTAGAACAAATTCTAGAAGCTTCAGCTTAGCCTTGGGAATCTGACTTCAGGGGATAACCATATATGCATAGTAAGTTGGTGCTTCTTTCTCCTTTTTTTCTTAAGTAATAAGGGAATGATAGGGTGCCTATCATTTTTAGCAGTTTCTAAGGAGCTCTCTGGTAGTGTAATGGTTACAAATCGGGCTGCTAACCTCAGGGTCAGCAGTTCGAAACTACCAGCTGTTCCACAGGAGAAAGATGAGGCTTTCTGCTCCCGTAAAGATTTACAGCCTCGGAAACCCTGTACAGGGTCGCTATGAATCGGAATCGACTCTACGGCACATAACAACAACATCAGTTCAGCAGCTGGCTATCATTTATAGCAGTTCTACCCTCAACTGGGTCGCTATGAGTAAAGGTTATTCATAACCTTTACTAAAGGTTCTTCAGCAGTACCTAACATGTTTGATTAATAGTTGGGTTTTTTTTTTTTTTTTCCACTAACTCAGGTTGTCATCTTCATATGTAATTTTTTTATCCTTTGTACTCATCCCAAAAATAGAATTGTCATAAATTTATTTAATAATATGTAACTGTGCTAGGTGTGGCACTGTGGGATAAACATTGAACTGCTTAATTGTAAGGTCAGTGATTCAAACCCACTTTGGAAACCCTATACAGGGTTGCTATGAGTCAGAGCTGACTTGACAGTATTTACCAACAACACCTGTTAGGGGAATATAATATTAACACTGTCTTGGTGTTGTTAAGTGCCATAAAGGGATATAATCACACAGCTAAAAGACTGTATGTTATAACTATATTCAAAATGTATAGAGAAAATGGGGGAGGAATACATATTATTTGAAAAAGACAGATTTCATAAAGAAGGTAATGCTTAAACTGAGTTTTATAAAGTACAGGAAAAGGAAGAAATGGGCAGTATTGTGGGATTATTTTTTTAAACAAAGGCATGAAGAGGCAAAATGCACAGTAGGTACAGTAACAGTAATGTAGCAGGAGAAGGTAATGTAAGGAAGCCAGGGATTGGATAGTATGGGAATGTAATGAGTGCTTTTCAATACAACAGGAGTACTTTACTGAATTTGAGTATTTGAATATTGAGTCCTGGTGTGGTGCTACAGGATAATAACTGGACGGCTTAACCACACGGTTGGTGGTTTAAACCCACCAGCTGCTTCTTGGAAACCCTAGATAGGATCACTTTGAATATAGAAGTGAATTGATGGTTAGGTGCCTTAGGGTTTTCTAGACTATAACCTTTACTGGAGCATATTGCCAGGTCTTTCTCCTTAAGCACTGCTGGGTGGGTTTGAACCATCAACCTTTTGGTTAGCAGCTGAGCGCTTAACTGTTGTAACACCAGGGCTTCTTCAAAGAGAATTGCCAGAATTTAATTTGGTAAGGAGGGAGCAGTGGTTGTTCAGTAGTAGAATTTTCAACTTACATGATGTAATCAAACCAACTTCCCAAGTTGTGGTTTGATTCCCAAGCATAGCTGCCACCACTTGTCATTGGAGGCTTTCCTATTGCTCTGATGTTGTAAGTTTCAATGGAGCTTCCAGACAAAGACATACTAGGAAGAAAGTCCTGGCAGTCTACTTCTAATGAAAACCCTATGGTCCATTATGGTCTGATCCCATTGTACCGATATAGGGTTGTCATGAGTTGAGGACCAACTGGACAACAGCTGACAACAACAATTTGGTAGGGAGGAATGAATTCTCAAAGGCTTTTGAGTAGGAAAAAGACAGTCTTTCATGCCAAAGTTCTTTGTAGAATCAAAAAATCATGCCAAGTTAAGAAAGAGCTTTGAAGCATCAGCCTTTAGTTTTAACTTTAACATTTAAGAGCCTGCTGCCATCAAGTTGGTTCCAACCCATAGTGACCCTATACGGCAGAGATTAAATCACTTTTTTATCATTTAGTCTCAGAAACCTGAAGAAGCAGTTCTACTCTGTCTTCTCTGTAAGATAAGGATAGTTATTGTATTTCTGCATATAGCGAATAGGTTTCAACCAACCACCTTGTGATTAGTAGCCCAGTGCTTAATCCACTGTGCTACCAGAGATGCTTGTGTTAATTTGAGTCTACATTATTGTTGGGGTTAGCAAAGGTGCAATACATATATTTGCCTTATCTACTCACTCAACCCTAATCCCTTATTAAATTGAGGAAAAACACTGTCATCCTATTAATCTTTGAGAGCCTTGGTGTGGTACTGTAGGATAAGCACTTAACTGGCAACCACACAGTCAGTAGTTCAAACCTACCAGCTGCTTCTTGGAAGCCCTATATACAGGGTCGTTATGAGTCAGAACTGACTTGAGGGCACTTAACAACAACAACAGTATGATGGACAAATTATTTAATCTTTCTAAACCATTGTTTTCTTATCTGTAAGATAAGGATACTTACTGTATGTTTGTGTATAACATGTCCATGTAAATAACACACCTATAACGCGTATAACACACACAGGGAACTAACGTAAGAGGGGGCTGCACAGTTTGTAAAAATCAGATACTGTGTACATTATTTGCATTAAAAATACAGTCTAACTCACAGGGTTATATGACTTACATGATATGGTATTCTAAGGGTGTTATTAAATTATAATCATTTGTTTACATTCTCTTTGTTAAATTCTTGCATGGTTAAAATTCTGAGCAACAATTTTTTTATTTTGTCTTATCAGATACAGTCTTCTTTGCAAGACAAAACCTCTGTTCCTCAGACTACACATTCATGTGAAATACCACCAAATCACCATCAGTTAGCATGTAATCATCAAGAATTAGAACAGTTACAGAGTGTGAAAAATATTCCACATTTACAAATTCTGTGTCCCCCAGGTAAGAAACTAACAAATAAACAACCATAATTGAGAAGCTGGCACCTTAAACCTGTATGAAAATGTTTATGATATCATCATCAATATTGCATATTTGGAAAATACTAAAATCATGCCTAGAAAATTCCAGGTTAGAAATAATCACTGAAGCATATTATTAGGAAGTATGGGTATGCTTTATAACCATAGGTAATATGTACGGTCACATTCAACTTACTTTCATATTGAATGTACATTGGAATGTGGTATGGATATAAAAACCCTATTGCTGCCAAAGCCCGCACTATCAAGTTTTAAACAGACTTGGAAAATAATGCTCTAATCTCCATGCTGCCTATGTGGGTTGGAAAGGTAAGATGGAATAAGGAAGAGATATTTAAGAATCCATAGGTACAGAAATGAAAGTAATATAAATCAGAAATAGTTTACAGTTAAGAAAAGTAGACTAGAAATACTTGCCTACTGTTGGTTCTCGTTTAACAAAAGCGTCTTTCAAGACTGGCTAAATTTTATATTGTTAGATTCATTTGATTGTAGTTATATTGTCTGTTAGTCTGGTCAGAAGTAAAGGTGTACCTCAACCTGGTTTTCCTACGGATGTACTTCTCTGATTATCATGGTCTGAGCCCGAATCTTGAGACCATAGTACTTAGGCCTAGATTAGAAGCAGGTGCATTTATTTTCTCTTTTGCAAATGCTTCCCTCTAAGCTACTCTTTAGTAAATTCTTGTAGTGTGGTGATTGTGAGTTGGGCTACTAGCTTACAGGTCAGTTGTTCCATGGAAGAAAGATAAGGCTTTCTGCTTCCGTAAATACAGCCTTGGAAACCCTGTGGAGAATCACTGTGAGTCGGACCAATTCCACACACATAACCACCACTACTAAGCTACTGTTTGGCTTTCTGAGGGCCAATGGTACTTCTAAGCAGGAGAAATACCTAAGCTGTTTTGCTGTAGCACAGCTTAAGAGGAAAAGAAAATAACGTCATCATTTTG